AGACAGATCTCACACAAAACACAAAAGTGCTCAAGCTCTCTGAAAGGCAGGAGCCAACCTTTAGCTATGGTGCCGCCTTGTCTTTCAAATATATTTATTCTTAGTACAAAAGGAGTAGGAACAAAGTTGAACAAGTTGGGGCAGATTTGGAATTTGTCATTAACATGTACTAAATTCCACTCCCCTGTGCCAGATGAGGAAACTTAGCAGATGATGAGTTTCCCGCACCAAGAAAACAAAAGCTCAGCAGTACTCTTTTGTTTTTAAAGATAATATTAACATGCCATTTTTTGGAAATGGCCATTTCTCCATGATGCCTAGTGTCCCTTCTGTCCTACAGCAGTGTCTGTGCAGGCAGGGCTCTCTCTCTTCTTGGCCACTGCCTCATCCTGCACCACCTGGAGCCTGAGTTTCTAGAGCCCTAGAAGACTGAAATGTCTGGTTGATTCCTTTGCCTGGTACCGCTTCATGTTTTCACTGCTCACGGCCCTTTAGATTTCCCATACAGATCTGGGAGGACTTAACTATCTGGCAGGATTGAGTCTTCCAATCCATGAACATGGATTATTTCGCCAAGGACTCAAGTTTTCTTTAAATGTCTCCTAATAAAGTCTTCTAATTTTCTTCTAAAAATGTGCTAAACGTTAATTTTTAGATTTATTCTTAGGTATTTGCTATGTTTTGATGTAATCATCAATGGTACCTTTAAAAATATTTAATTTTCTAACTGCTGTTGCAATACAGAAAAAATGATTTTTGAGCATCCCTTTTATATCTAGCTACCTTGCTCAACTCTTAAGCGTCCTGATGCCATATCTGTAAATCCCTGTGGTTTTCCATTCACCTGCAAGTCCCCACACTGTTCTTCTCTTTCTTATCTACTGTGCTGACCAGGACCTCCGAGCAACACTGAAAGGTGCAGTGAGAACGGCCCCTGCACCATCCCCGTCTCAGAGGGGAGCTTTTACCAGCTAACCACTGATTTGATGCTTGCTCTAGCAGCCTGTGAATGACAGTTACCCGAGTAAGAAACTGACCTATGGATTCAATGCTATCCCAATCCATATCCTAACACACACTTCTGTGGAACTGAATACGTGGACTCTAAAACGTATATGGAAATGCGAGGGGTTAAGACTAACCAAGGCATCCCGGAGAAGAGCAAAGCTGGAAGACTTGCTGTTCCAGAAATCAAGACAGCCTGTAAAGCTTCATTAATGAAAACAGCCAGGCTCTGTGCTGTCACACCGGCTTGTGCATGAATCAACACCTGACTTGTGACAGCAGCGGCCTGCAGAAGTGTGAGGAAAGGTCGGCCTTTCAACATGTTGTGTTGGACAAGTAGGTATACACGGACAAAAGAGAGAAAGAAAACCAAGAAAAGAACAAAGAAAGAAAGCAACTGGATCAAATTATATACATATATATTTAAAAAAACAAACCCCTGGTGGGTTATAGACTTAAATCTGAGAGGCAAAACTCTGATGCTTTTAAAAAATAATACAGAAGAATGTCTTAGGTAGGGAAAGAAGTAGAGAAGGACTTCCTTAGACACAAAGCCAGTACTCGTCAAAAGACTGGTTAATCTATATTGAAATTAAACAGTTTTCTTTTTTTTCTTTTCCCTGAGAGTCTTGCTCTGTTGCTCAGGCTGGAGTGCAGTGGTGCGACCTCAGCTCACAGCAACCTCCGCCTCCCGGGTTCAAGTGATTCTCCAGCCTCAGCCTCCTGAGTAGGTGGGACTACAGGTGTGCACCACCATGCCTGGCTAATTTTTGTATTTTTAGTAGAGATGGGGTTTCACCATGTTGGCCAGGCTGGTCTTGATCTCCTGACCTTGTGATCCACCCACCTCAGCCTCCCAAAGTCCTGGGATTACAGGCGTGAGCCACCGCACCTGGCCTGAATTTAAACATTTTTCTTCATCGAGACACACAGAAGAATGAAAAGGCAAGTCAAAGAATAGAACTATTTGAATACATATAACCAACAGACTTGGATAAACATATCCAATAAATCAGTAAGAAAACTTCAGAGCACAATAAAAAAAAAAATAGGCAAAAGTCTTAACCAGGTTCTTCACAAAATATATCCAAATAGCTAATCACATATGAAAGGATCATCACTCTCATTAATAACCAGAGAAATGCCAATTAGAACCACTACGGCCAACACCAAATAGTGCCTCAAGGAGCCGCTTCGAGGCTGGAGCATGAGCACCACCCATGGCCACGGTAGCGTGCTATCCCTGGTGCTGAGCACTCCTGGTACACCACCTCAGAACACTCACAAACACATGCATCACAACAGAGGTAAAGGAATGTCCACAGCACACCATCCTAACAGCTCAAACTAGAAACAAACAAATGCCCATTAGTAGTGGATGAGGTCAATACAATGCAGTCCATGTAACATTCCAGAGCGATAGCGATGAAGGAAATACAGCTATACTCAATATGGATATGCCTTACGAAATACTGTGGCATGAATGGGGCGAATAAGGAGGATTTATTCAGTATAATTTCATTTATTGGAAGTACAGAAATAGGCATCCCTAAAACTATAAAAGACTTACAGGGGGCTTTTAGGGTGTCCAGCCTGAATGGTGGTTATATGAGTATTTGTTTCATAATTATTCACTACACATTTGTTCCATATGCTTCTGTATATGAGTTATATTTCAAATAAAAAAGTCCAAACATACATGCATATGGCTAAAAAATGAAAATGGAAAGAACCTAGAGAGACGTGAGTCTCCTTCTGCACACCACCCTCTAGCCTCCCTCTCTTCTGCCAACTCCCACTCTTACAAATGGGGTGACCTGGGCTACTCCAGGTGTGCATTTGGGTGCATGAACGTCAGCCGTTTCCCATACAGTTTTAGATGCGTCAACACCGATGACCTCTAAACTCACCTGGATCTACCTAAGACTGAAGACACACTCACACACTTGAAATCTCAACAGTTTCTTTTTTTTTTTTTTTTTTTTGAGACGAATTCTTGCTCTGTTGCCCAGGCTGAAGTGCAGTGGCGGGATCTCAGCTCACTGGAACCTCCGCCTCCCGGGTTCAGGCAATTCTCCTGCCTCAGCCTCCCGAGTAGCTGGGACTACAGGTGTACCACCATGCCCAGCTAATTTCTGTATTTTTAGTAGAGATGGGGTTTTCACCATGTTGGCCAGGATGGTCTCGAAATCCTGATCTTGTGATCCGCCCGCCTCGGCCTCCCAAAGTGCTGGAATTACAGGTGTGAGCCACCACACCTGGCCCCCCAAAAACGTTTCTAACGTTCCTCTATGCAGGGTCTCATGCTGAAGAATTTAAGCTTTGAATTTTTTAATTGAAAAACTTTTCCAGTTAAGACAGAGATCTAGGTGATCTCTATTTTTTTTCTATTTATATAAAGATTCTCTCATTCTCTTTTAAAAGAGCAGTAATTATGCTTGCAAATGGATAAAATCAAGACTGTGATATGATGTGCTTATCAGATCTAAAGCGTCTGTGGGGAGCAACTGGCATGTAAGAACTAAGTCTCAGGGCAGCCCCAACCTAGAGGACACAGGCTGCATCCCCAGGAAGTCTTTCACAAACGCATCCCGTACATAACACGCCAGGCACTGTGCGACGCATTGAGGATACAAAGATACTTTAAAACACAACATCTGACCTAAAAGAAAACTACTAAAACACGGGAGGTGATGAATTCTGCTGGGGAGACATGGGCATGAGGCTCAGGGAGAACAGGAACCACATGTGCAGAGAGGCTCAGGTTGCTGGGAAGGTACTCAAGGCTGCATTAAACAGGGAGACTGTCCAGAGGCACTCACTTGTCAATCACAGGGGCCTGAAAGTGACAGGACAGATGAATCAGGCTGCCTTCTCTGGAAAATCAATTTTCCTCAAAAGATAGTACCTTAAAAATGAGGACAAATGATTCTATCTTACGTAACCTACATTAATCATACTGGATACTTAATTACAAATTTTCCCAGAGGAGGAACTTTGTTTTGTCCACCATTTTTATCCTTAGCATCTAAAACTGGCAAGCACATAGTAGGGCCACAGGTGTTTGCTGAATGAAGAGATCAATCTGGGGAAAAATTCAGGTAATTTGAGAGGCACTGTAATTTGAAATATATTTATATCAAAATAACGCCACCTGTATCAGAGTAGAACACAACATCTACATAAACTTTTAAGATACAGCTCAGGTCTTCAGAGAAACTGCTCTTAGCAGGCATTGCTCCTTTGTGGAATCTCTGCAGTCAGAGGCACTTTTTGATAGAAAAATCTAAAAGGTACTGTGGGAAGAGATTTGAATCAGAGGATTTTTAAGAAGATGAGTGATCCAACTTGACCTCTGTTCCGGAGAGACACAGGTGAACTGAAACCAAGAAGCCAGAGGCAGGCGCTCTCCTTCAGAAGAGAAGGGCCAACCTGCAGCCCGGGAACCTGGCCCTCAGCTCTCTCCCAGGTGATCCCCACACGCAAGCTCTGCCTTCCCGCGTGCAGGCCCCGCCAGCCCGCATTTTTGGTAACAAGGATCTCTTATGCTATAAATCCAAACTTCTACAACTGGAAAGCATGATAAATAAACGTAATAATGAAAAACTCCCTTCTATATATCTACAAAATGTCAAGACTAACTTCTACCCTGACCCTTAGCACCTACATAACTTCAAAACTGGGTCAGTCTTCTCATACTGTTTGTAACTTGTTGATGACTTCTGAAATTTACAATAAATCTTTCTTAATTTCAAAGCGCAAGTATCTTATTTTATCCATTCTAATACATACATTTTCCATATTAATCTCTAACATCAAGTTGCATCTTTCACTTTTTCTTTTTTGGTAATTCTTCAAAAATGGTTTGGACTACAATTAACCGTGCCTTAGATGTGATGCGATATGGTATCTTAGCTTCCATACACATATGTGCCTCTGCTCGAGTTTCTAAATGGATATTATTTCATTCAAATGTAGCCAACGTCCCTGCCTCACTCCAGGTCTGTCTGTACCACCCAGTGTAAAGGAACTGAGGAAGGTGGCTGCAGGAAGCAGGCAGGATTTTGGAAGAGGCCATGCCCACCCTAAGTGCTCCCCTGTTCCGGCATGTGGCTACCTGCAGCTAAGTCTGTTTGGCAAGACTCCATGAGAAACTGGGAGAGGTGGCGCACAGCCCTTCCTGTCACCGGGGATGCTGAAGCCATCCTTCCACTCTGTGTGGGTAGATTTTGGGCAAAATGAACAGTACCACCCGGCACACTTCACTTGGGTATAAATTTGGTAACGTAAGGCCGGCCTGCAGTTTCTATACTGACACTCCTGTTTACATGTTTGGATAGATACAACCCGTGGCTCACAATCCACCATGAATGTTCCAATGCTGTGGTTTATGGTTTATTCAGCTTTGTCGTTCACATTTACCAAGGTTACTTCTTCTTTCCTGTAGAGGAAGATCTGCTAACCCCAGGAGCAGGCTGGGGTTCCCTCACAAACCTGAGCCGTTCCTGCCTTAAACCCTTGGGGTTTTTCTGAGTGTTAGCCTGCTTTTATTTGCATATGAAGAAAGGGGTATTATTCACTTTCCTCACAACTTTCCGTGAAATTCACAGTACAATAAGGCAGATATTTTTCATTTTAAAAAACAGTGGTTGAAGCCATATTCTAGTTCATTCATGCTTTTTGCCCATGAAGACTGGCAGCCTCTACCAGGGAACTGGTGGGGAGTGAGTGGGGAAGGGTGGGCTGGATGGAGTGGAGGGGCGCCCGGATGGAGAGAGGTCAGGCTGAAACAGGCAAAGGCCAGGAGATGCTGCTTTCCTCAGAAAAGCTCTTTAGTGAATTTTCAGTAAAGGAAGAACAAACTGACTTCTGGTTTAGCCCCCGCTAAATCAGAACATGGTAAAGTCATGCAATTACTATGAGCCTCAGGTTCCTCAGCTATAAAATCTCCCGTGGACACACAGGGACATTCACAACGAACCTTCGCTCTGGCCACAGGTGACAAGAGGAATTCAATGGTGTTGGCTGAATTAGAAGGTTCGGCTTTTTAACAGGGAAAGGTTAAGACAGGCTCAACAAACTCCCAGAGATGAAGATATAAATCCAGCACAGCATTATTTCCTGATACAGGCCATATTCCCCACTTAGGACTCTGGTTCTGGAAAGCCTTGGGGAGAACAGACAGTGCACTGATTACTAAATGCTCAGCACCCTTCGTGGAGCCCACGCCGCCTCATCTTCCACTTCCACTAGCACTTCTGGTGAAAGCTGAATACCAATAATACGATTGCACCTGGTGACCAGAGCGCCCACAATGCGGTAGCTCATTTACCCAAAGAACAAAGGCAGGCGCCGTCTCAGGAAAAGTAACAGCTCTTAACATTTGATGAAATGACGTAATAAGATCTTTTCAATTCTATCTTGAAATTGATTCCAGAACCTTCAATATGTTTACCAGCAGACAAAGCAGTGTGGAAGTGTGAAAAAGATACACTGAAAATACTCACACATTTTTTTCAGTCTCTATTTTATGTTCTCTACTTCTTTTTCCATGTCTCTGTCAGAGGAGGCTAAAGTGCTTCTTTCTAGACCTGAACTCTTGCTGAAGCTTGGGTTCTTCCTTCGCATGATGTCCAGCCCGGGGCTGGCAGCAGGGAAGGTCAGTGAGGGACACAACCAAACGAGCATACAGCCTGTGTGCCAGGACCTGCTGGGCCCTGGGCTGCTCCTGGAGCTCCAGAGGCAGCCTGGGGATCAGGGCCACGGAGCAACACAGGTACCATGACACGTACCATGAAATCAGGACTGTGTGCACGTGTGTGTCCAACCTCTGGGGAGGTGACGCGGAATGAGTGCCCGACTGCTCTGGCCCCGCCCGCATGCTGCCAGCCTCTGAACTTGTCACATACCCACTGCTCCACTCTCTGAGGTTCCAATTAGTTACTGGTATTGGTAGTAACCTATTTTGGGTTCCAGCCACCAACTCATCACTGCTAAGATGCACTGGAGATACCAGCCCGCAACGGCTTCCCACACTCTTCCTGTCTCCAAGACGTCAGCAGGGTTTGTCATGGAGGAGAGTAGCTCCAGCCCTACCTGAGACTTGGACAAGCATCCCTGGGGGCTTTCTGTCTTGCCCAGTCCTTGACACTGAACTTGGCCTCATGGTTATCATCGGGGCTGCTGTTTGGAGAGGAATGCAGAGAAAAGGGACACACGGCACTTTCCATCTTTATAACCCCTAGCCTCTGCTGCATCCCCAGCCTTAGCTCAGTGTTAGAAAATGACAGGCACTCAACAACTGCATCACGTCAAGTACTGATGCTGCCGCCACTGTCGCCACCACCCCCACCACCACCACCACCACTGCCATCACTGCCACCATCACTACCACCGCCACCACCACCACCACCACTGCCATCACTGCCACCATCACTACCACCGCCACCACCACCACCACCACTGCCACCACCACCACCGCCACCATCACCACTGCCATCATTGCCACCATCACTACCACCACTGCCACCACCAATGCCACCACCACTGCTACCAYCACCACTGCCATCACTGCCACCATCACTACCACCACTGCCACCATCACTACCACCACYGCCATCACTGCCACCATCACTACCACCACTGCCACCATCACTACCACCACTGCCACCACCACTACCACCACTGCCACCATCACTACCACCACTGCCACCACCAATGCCAYCACYRCYRCCATCACTRCCACCATCACTACCACAGCCGCCATCCTACCGCCACTGCCACCACCACCACCACCACYGCCAYCAYYRCCGCCGCCAYCACYACCACCACCACCATCKCCACTACCACCACCGCAGGTGCCCACAATTCCAATCTCCGCACTGGTGCAGCCTACTTCCTGCTCAGAGTGCTGACTGGAGCTATGGGGGTACCCCCTGTGAGACAGGCTTTCCTCTTAGGGCGCCCCTCAGGTTGGGCAGCAGGTGCCACCCATGGATGGATACACAGTGTGGAGGGGCAAGAAAAAATTCCAAAGCATAAAGCGATAGAAAAACTTCTACATTTCTTCAGCTTGTTGTGTTGCTGTCTCAAGTGATAATAAAGAGCAGGGTTTTAATGAGTTTCTTGGATACAATAAACACACTGAGAAGCCTGGTGTGTTCTGTGCAGCTGTTCTCTGGAGCAGTTTACCTCCATCTGTCTTCTCTCCCACCCAAGTGTGTGCCATCACCCCATGGAAGATCTGATGGACATGGACATGAGCCCCCTGAGGTCCCAGAACAAGCTTTTTGGTTGTGAACTACAGGTTGACAAAGATGATCACTTTAAGGTGGATAATGATGAAAATGAGCACCAGCTGTCTTTGGTTGTAGGGGCTGGTGCAAAGGATGAACTGTGCATTGCTGAAGCAGAGGCAATGAATGATGGAGATAGTCCAGTTAAGGTAACACTGATGACTTTGAAAACGTCTGTACAGCCAAGGGCTTCCCTTGGGTTCTGAAACACCATCACCTGTGGCCTTGTGGCGAGGTGTGGTTCAGTGCCCTTGCCTATCAATGGATGGCACTTAGTAGCTGGGGAGGAAGATGCAATGCAGTCAGACAGACAGGAGGATGTGAAACTCTTCAGTGTATCTGGAAAGCGATCTCCCCCTGGAGGAGGCAGCAAGCTTCCACAGAAAAAAGGGAAGTTTGCTGCTGCCGAAGATGATGATGATGAAGATGAGGAGGAAAGTGAGGACAAATCTCCGGTGAAGAAATCTACATGAGATACTCTAGTCAATCATGCACAAAAATCAAACCAGAATGGAAGACTCCAAGTCACCAATGTCAAGAAAAGGTCAAAAATCCTTCAAAAAATAGGAAAAAAACTCCTAAAACACCAGAAAAATCTATTTCTATAGAAGACATCAAAACAAAAATGCAACCAAGTATAGCAAAATGTGGTTCTCTTTCCAAAGTGGAAGCCAAGTTAATCCATTAGTGAATGGCTTCTGGATGACCGACTAGGGAGCTGGCTAGTCAAGATCTCTGGCAGGGCAGGAAGTCTCTAAGAAAATAAACAGTTAAAAATTCTCCATCTTATTTCATTTCTCTAACAGTTGATATCTGGCAGTCCTTTTTATAATGCAGAATGAGAACTGTCCCTACTACGTTTGATAAATGCTGTCCCGGTTCCACTGTCAAGAATATGTTGTCCAAAATGCCAATTTATTTTAGACAGGGTCTTGCTCTGTCACCCAGGTGGGAGTGCAGTGGTGATCACAGCTCACTGTAGCCTCAACTTCCTGGGCTCAAGCAATCTTCCCACCGTAGCCTCGCAATTGGCTAGAACCACTGGCACACGCCACCACTCCTGGCTACTTTTTATATTTTTTGTAGAAGACAGAGTCTTGCTATGTTGCCCAGGTTGGTCTTGAACTCCTGGGCTCAATCTGTCTTTCCACCCTTGCCTACCAAAGTGCTGGGATTACAGGTGTGAGCCACTGCGCCCAGCCCAAAATGCCTGTTTACTTGTTAAAGATGGAACTCCACTCTCTGCTTGGTTTTAAATATGTATGGAATGTTATTGTAGGACACAGTAGTAGTGATCAGGCACGGAGATGGTGCGGAGATAAGAAATACATGCAGAATAAAACTCAGTATTTTAATAAAATTAAAAAAAAAAGACACATCACTCCCATTCATGCCTTCCCCAGCTGAGGCCAGTCTACCTGTGCCAGGTGTGAGCAGGCGCCACAGCATGCTGCTCTCAGGCCACTGACCCCACGTGGGGAGGGCTGGACACAGACCCATGACCTGGAGGATGATTCTGGGATAGAAGATAAACAGGCACCCCTTGGATGGCCATCATTGGTGACACACAGCTCCCCAGTATAATACCCTCATGCCTGTCAGCAGCACACCTGGGTGGGGACCCTGATGGGTGCCTGCAGAGCACCTTAACCGGGGCTGAATCCCTGTTTACTGCTCACTCCCCTTTCCTCGGGATGCTCCAGTGACCGATCACTAGGAAAGCAAAGCAACAAGCAAAGCAGCCACTGAGGCCCACGCGTGCTCCTGCCCTCTCCTCCTGTTTCAAGGGGGACTCGCGGGGGCAGGCTGCACCTGGAAACCTTGGCTTTGGACCATTTTCCCAAAGGCCCATCATATCACACTCCCGAAGAACACGACTGTAATACAGTTGGCAGGTTATTCAAGAGGTTTACCAGCCAAAAGGTTCATTTTTCCATTGTCGAAGGCTATGTCACCTAAAGATTTGATATTTTTATTATTCATTGGAATGAGGAACATTCTAGTGTTTGGGTAAGTGTTCAGAGACAGTGGACCCTTTTCTACCCGTATGTCTGCACTGCCACTGGATTTCTGTTTTCATGACACAGCAGGGTTTGGTGGGGGGAACTGGTAGGCACAATGAGGGCTCCCCGGGGCCTCCAAGAGCTGTCACAGCACCTGGAAAGAAGAGCTGGACTCTCTGCAGGAGCCAGAAGAGGAGGCACTAGAAATCAGGTGCCAAGAAGCTCCGTGGGGAGCTGAAAGCTCAGCGGTCTCTGAAGGAGGTGGTGCTCCCCACCTTCCAGATGAAGTCTGGGTGACCTGTGAGGGACTGAATGACTCCAGCCTCCTGGCTGTCCACCTGGCCCTGGAGCCCTGCTCCCTGACCTGGCCCCACTGCCCCAGTTGGCCTCCAAGAGTCCCCTTTGAAAGGTGTTTCCCTCTCCTGCCTCCCAGAAGCATGGGCGATCCTCCGCCTTACTCTCTACGGCTCTTTGTGTCTGCGACTGGTAGGTTCGTTTCAAAAAGACCACCACAGTAACCGTGGGCAACCCCCTTCTGTTGCCTCACCTCCTCAGGTGAGCATCAACCACTCAGGAGGGAGCCAGGCACCTGGAGACACCTGAGTGAAAGTGTCTGGACTCGGAAGGAGCCGGCCCCATGTCTTTCGGTGAGGAAGCTCAATCCATGTGAGCTGTCTAGTGGTCCGAGAGGTGGAGGCATTTGGGGAAGCCTCCACAGTCGGCCCTCTACATTCTCCTTTCCTTACACAGTACTTCCCAAGGCTTGTTCTTTATGGTCCAAGTTTTATAAACTAAAAACTTAACACTCAAGGCGTGGCACTCTGAGGCCACTATTAGGCACAGCTGCCCCCTTCATTTCTGACTTTAAATCCTTTACTTAGCAACGATCTGTAATGCCTCGGAGACAGGAAGCAGCAGTAAAACAAAGGTGTTAGGAACCTGGACAGAAAGCTGAAACCTGTGGGTTGGAATCCCAGGTCCACCTCTTACTACCTTACTGATCCTGGGCAGAAAACGATCTCTCTGGGCCTTGGTTTTCTCAACTGGAAAACGGGAATAACTGTCTCTACTGGGGTTGATGTGAATTAAGAGGTGGACAGTGTCTTAGAAAAATCCCTGAAATATAATGTGTCCTCAATAAATGTTACTTGTTTCGTTTCTTGTTAATCAGGTACCAAGTGACTTAGCAGCATCTATAACTCAATCCTGTTACTCTCCGGGTGGTAACGGAAGCAACCAACGGAAGCGACATTTTCATCCTCTCCAGGCATTTCCAAGCAGGCCTCTAATGCACTGCACTCAGCAGCTAAATTTGTACCAAACCAAAGGCAGAATCTCCATTTGACAATGTCTGGTTCCGCATAACACAATTATGCATATGCCCTGAGAAACGGCGCAGCAACCGTGCTTTGCTGCTCTTGATCCCTCAACAGGGCACTGCAATAGGAAGCACCTCAGTGTTGGTCAAAAGGGGCTGAATGAACCCCAAATCCAGTTATTAGAGACGTACCCACTAGGTCATGGGGAGCCAGTCTGTTTGGTGAGTTCACAATGATCTTAGTATTATCAGTTTGTAACTAGATTTGAATGGAAAAATTCCCTTAAAGTTTGATAGGTTTATAAAAGACCGGCGGAGTGGGGCTCTTTTTTTGGGGGGTGGGGGGTGGGGGTAGCAGGTGGTGCTGGAAGCTCACATAGGTAAGAAGATAAAAACCAGAAAGTAGCAAGCAGACTAAAAAGGCAGGAGACGCCGCTATTAACCAGCTGTGACAAGTTGTTGACCTTTTTGGGCCTCAGTTTCCACATTTGAAAAATGAGGGTTTTTTTCTGGCTCTTCTGAGACTATGAGAGAATACTTCTTTCAGGAACTTGAGTGCCAGCAGCAAATCCTAGAGAGGGGGAAAATATGAAAATACAACAGGGTCTCTAAACAGGAACAGAGAAGAGAATAATGTGATATATATGCTTTTTAATCTAGGAAAATAACGTACCAGGTGGGCACTACAAGAAGGACCAGGAAGAAACCCGGGGCTTGCTCCTATAAATGAAATCTTCGCTCTGTGTACAGGTGACCGCTGGTCTTTACATAAAACAACTTAGTATTCCATGGTTGATGTGATATGTAAACATGTGTAACTTATTTTTGAAGAAATTTGTTTTCAGAAAAATAATACACGCTCACTATAAAATAGAAAAAAAAATCCAAACTACACAGAAAAGGCCAACCCAGAGATAACACTGCTGGCGCCTCCAGTGTGTGCAGATGAATGAACCACTGAAAGCCAAGCTTCACGGGCTCCTCTGTTCTCTACCCACAACCCCAAGTCCAGGATGTCTCATACGCCAACAAGTATCAGTGTCAACTGCTTGAAATTTCACTTGACATGTGTGCTATGATTCAATAAATCCAATCAGCATTCTCACAGTGTTTCTTAAAAAATATTACATTGCAAATAATACTTTAATTTATGATTACAGATGGAGGATGGAATATATTTATTGAGTCTACTCTCTTCTAAAACTGCACTAAAAAGACAGTGAATTTTGTAAAGAGTTTACACTTTCCAGGACATGGGATCATGGGGCTGGAGGGCAGGCGGGAATGCAACTGGGTGTGCGCTGGTGAAGCCTCATGGGCTCAGGTCAGGATGTCCTCACAGGTGCCTGTAGAATAGGGTCACAGATGGGCAAGAAGAGGTCTGAAAGGAAGTCTTTTTTTTTTTTTTTGGAGACAGAGTCTCGCTCTGTTGTCCAGGCTGAAGTGCAGTGGCATGATCTCGGCTCACTGCAATGTCCACCTCCTGGGTTCAAGCGATTCTCCTGCCACAGCCTCCTGAGTAGCTGGGATTACAGGAGCACCCATCATGCCCAGCTAATTTTTTGTATTTTTTTTAGTATAGATGGGGTTTCAACATGTTGGCCAGGCTGGTCTTGAACTCCTGAGCTCAGGCAATCCACCCACCTCGGCCTCCCAAAGTGCTGGGATTACAAGCATGACCTACTGTGCCTGGCCCTGGAAATAAGTGTTCTGTGTTACCAGGGACTCTGCTTTGGTAATGTCCGGATAGGACACAGCCAACACGCACACTGGGCAACAAGAAAAGCTTGAGAAAATATAAAAAAGTCTGACTTAGTGGTATCAGCAAACTTGTAAAATAGTGAAGATTTTTTTTTTTGAGACGGAGTTTTGCCCTTGTTGCCCAGGCTGGAGTGCAGCGGCACGAACTTGGCTCACTACAACCTCCGCCTCCCGGGTTCAAGTGATTCTCCTGCCTCAGCTGCCTGAGTCGCTGGGATTACAGTCATGTGCCACCATGCCCGGGTAATTCCGTATTTTTAGTAGAGATGGGGTTTCACCATGTTAGACAGGCTGGTCTAGACCTCCTGGCCTCAGATGATTCACCCGCCTCAGCCTCCCAAAGTGTTGGGATTACAGGTGTGAGACACTGTGTCCGATCTTTTTTTTTTTAATTTGAGACAGACTCTTGTTCTGTCGCCAGGCTGGAGTGTAGTGGCACAATTTCGGCTCACTGCAACCTCTGCCTCACAGGGTTAAGCGATTCTCCTCCCTCAGCCTCCTGAGTAGCTGGAATTACAGGCATGTGCCATCACACCCAGCTAATTTTTGTGTTTTTAGTAGATACAGGGTTTTACCATGTTGGCCAGGCTGGTCTCAAACTCCTGACCTCAAGTGATCTGCCCACCTTGGCTGCCCAGAGTGCTGGGATTACAGGCGTAAGCCACCACACCTGGCCCAAATGGTGAAGATTTAAATAACCAAGAAGGAAGGACAACACAAACCCCAAGGGATGGGCTGTGTGCCAGTGGCTGCCTCCTCCTTCCCTGGGGCTCCTCCTTTCTGGCTCACGTGCCTGGGAGACCCAGTGCTTTGCTTTTCACAGCCTCCTGGGACGAGGGGGACAAGAGGTGAGTCCAGGGCCCTGAAGGTAAAGGACAGGCTGGTAAGACCCCCTGCGCATTACAACATATAGAGTATATGAGAGACACGTGCAGCAAATGTGGCCTAATGTTGACAAATAGGTGAAGTTTTGATGAAATTCTTTATATCATTCTTGCAGCTTTTCCATACTTTTGAAATTATTTCAAAAAGTTAACAAATAAGCAAACAAACTACAAATCAGGAATGGAAACTGAGTTTTACCAAATGCCATCTTCAGATTTATGAGGCGCTTGTATTTACCTTCCTTTGGCGATTACTAATTGCTACACACTATGGTCTTCTCCTTTCTTCCGCCACACGGGCTCTACTTGTCTTGACTCTCCCCGCGTCACCCGCCATCTGCCCCCTTCCAAACAGCTCCTGGGTTTCATTCTCTCCTTTTCTTAGTTGATTCATTTCTGCTTTTGTCTTTTAAAGAACACAGTACTTCTTTGATTATTTTGGTTCTTTTCTACCTCTTTAGTGTTTAAATCATTTTGTTTCATTCTTATTTAATAACAGTCTTTACACATTAACTCTGTAAGCCATTACCTTTTCTCATTTTTTCATTCATTTGGAGGCCATGGTGGTTCTGTACATGAGACCACAGCCAAGTCTGACAGCCCAGCCTGAATCTCAGTCTCCTACTTGCCAGCTGTCAATTCTGGAGCCCATGCTTTGCATCCCCCCATCTGTGGAATGGGGGTGAGGGGAGCACCTCCCTCAAACGAGGACTGTGAGGACCGAGTGAGATAGTAAATGCACCATGCTTAGAATAGTGCTTTCAGCATAGTTATGATGATTATTAGCTCTTATTCATTTAACAATATTTGTTCAGAGTCTACTTAGTGCTAGTATTCTAGAGGTCAAAGATAAAGCTTTCAACAAAACCTACGGTCCTTGCCTCCATGGAAGTTTTGCTTGAGTGATGAAGGGACTCCCAGGTATGCCTGGTTTCCACCTGTGTGTTTATTTCTATTTTTACTGTATTATAATGTGAGAATAAGGTTTCTAATTATTTCAAATTTTTGGAAATCACATTGGTTTTCTCTGCAAACTATTATATATTAAGTTTAAAAACTTATACCATGAATGTTTGTTTTTCAGCCACTGAACCTGAAAGTCTCTCCCGGCTCACAGTAATGACAGCTGATGTGTACTCCATGACCTGTACAAGGCCAGGAAGCCCGGGTGCGTCTCCCACCAGCACTACACTCAGCAACTTTGTCATTAATTCCCTACAGTTCTTGCTGTACATGTTTCAATGTTCAATCTTGCAGGCCACACACGTTCATGGTAGTTACGTCATCCTACGGACTGTGCTGTAGCGTGATGAGTAATCCTGCGTCACTGATCACTGTTGTCTTCACAATTTAGCTTTGCCCAGCATGAATGTCATGACCTCTGCTCTTCTTCTGCATCTGCCCGATATATACCTTCACTCTCTATTTCTTTTTGATGCTCTTTTATTATTACCCATCACTTCTTGGGATTTAAAGCCAAAGTTAGAAAATCCATGTTTGTTTGTTATTTGGAGTAACGCATATATGGAAGTAAATATAACTGAAATTACAGAAATAATCGTCAAGCTTTGCCAGCCTAGAAAAATGCATGCATCACCCCAGGCATTTACAGATATTATATTTAAAGAAATTTATTTTGTCTAAACAGTTTTTTGAAAAAGAACTATCTGCAGATCCTGGCATGAGACATAAGTTTCCAAAATAACAGAATGACTCATTTACAATAAAAAACCAGCTACAACAGTGTGTGTGATTTTAGTAGCTCTGATTTTAGGCTAAGGTTCGCAGGTCGGGAGTAAGAAAGGAGGGCGGGGGAGTGAAGGCTGGTGGCTCCATCCACGCTTTGGGTGCTGCTGGGGTCTAGCCTGAGCATGGGTTTGCTCTTCCTGCCTCTCCCCAGGCAGACACAGCTGAAGGTCAGGGACTTCCAACCTCAGCTCAGCTGAAACCCTGCCCAGCTTCATAGCCTCAAGTGCAAAAACATCTTTCAGCTGCTAGGAAATAGGAGTTTCTTATTTACTGCTTGTGGATTAAGAAATTTCCTTAAATAATTATTTCCCATTGTATTTTATCTTATTAATTTTTCCTCCTATTTTCACTTTTAATTCTTGTAAGGAACGGTTCATCATTACTGGGTATTTTCTGCATGCTGGTATTCCCGTAGCTCTTCTCAGCCCACTACTCCTCTTCAGTTGAAAGCACAGAGGGGCTATCACCCCCTGACACGGACAAGGACAGAGGCCTACGGAAAGGTCAAGGTGACAGCTCAGATGGGACAGTGCTGATGCCTGAGCCCAGGCAGGGCAGCTCAGAGCACCTGGTGACCTGCAAGAACAAGAGGCACCCTGTGAGGGGACAGCTGTGTGGGTGGGTGGTCCCACACACGCTACTTCTCCCTTATAGGGAGAAGGGTGGTCTCACCATTCCTGGTCAAGATGGAGACTGTGTCTGTCCCCCGGGAGACCTCTGATGCCTTAACAAAAATATGACTTCTGAGATCTTTAAATTCTTCAATGGAAAAAGCCTGTAAATAGAAATCAGTGGTTCCTAATATAAATCTGACATGGGCCAGGTTTCCCATTAGTCGGCATTACAGATGAGAAGGTGGAAGTGGGAAGGAGCCCTCTGAACAAACGTCTGGGACACGACCTTAACTGCAAGTCCGTCTTGATAACATGATCACCAACCAAACACCTGAATCATCAACACTCCCCTCTCCTGAGGTCTCCTGACCACTCAGCTTACTGTAAACTGTGTTCCCAGGCAGAAGCCACTGGGCAGTTCAGGCCATGCCAGTTCCTTCCTGTAATTCATCTCCCAGCTCCGTGCCAATGCCCCACCCCGGGCTTCCCTTATCCCAGTTGAGCCCACTCCCCAGCCACAGGACAGCACCCTGACTTTGCTTCTTGGCCCCCCGCTGAGCAGCCCATGCTCCCCCGACCGTGAGGAGCAGCCCAGGGCCCAGCCTTCCAGTTCTGGGGTTGCTGGGCAGTCAGCTGTGCTGGAATCAGAGTCTCCCTGTCCCTAAAGACACAGGCTGTCTTTTTTTCTTACTGTGAACGTGCTTTGAATACTCTCCTAAAAAGTAAACAAAACAAAACACTTCTCCAAGCCCCTGGCAAGCAGGCGGAGCAAAGCAGAAGTCTAGCCAGAACTTCCAGCCTTCCCGAGGCTCTGCAGTCACAGGCTCACCAGCGAGCTGGTGTAACCAAGTGAATCTTTGAGATCTGAGGACTTTTTCTCACAGCTTTTTGGCAAAGTCATCTTGGGACAGCAAAGAGTAGTCGTAGTCAATTAGAGGGCTGATTCTGATTTTCCCAGCATGTAATAAAAATTCACTCCTCTCATCCCCATCCAGACTCCTGATAACCAAATTAATATCTTAATGAATCCTCAGTATGAATGTCCCTGAGCAACTTGACAGGCCTGGGACTTTAAGCATGCATTCTATGACCTCATAATTTAAAGAGATTTGGGCGCCAGGGCTGGCAATGCGCCAGTGAAGTTTCACCTAGCAGACACTGAGTCTGGCAGGAGAATTTCTCCTTGAGCCATTTCTGCCGGAACAGCCGCCTAATCGGAAGAGGAAAATGCCTCCTCAGATTAACTTTCTGGTGGCCTGGGAGATACTTCAGCAGCAGCACTGAGACGCCACACCAAGGGACCATCTTTAGCTCCATTTTTTTGAGAAGACTTTTTGTTTGGCTTGAGGAGCGTCCTCCTGAAGCTGGCCCTCAGCGCTGCTGTCACTGCCGCAACCTCAGCACCTCACTGGCCTGCATACGCAGACAGGACAACCGGACCTGGTCAGGGTCCCACCAGTTCTTCAGACGAGGGTCTGGAGTTCCACCCCCTGCTCAAATCCTCAGGGTGACTTCACACGGGACATACTCTGTCCTGACTGGACACGTTTGCCACCCAGAGGAAGAGACAATGTTAAAACTTTGATTCAGGCTGGGTGCAGTAACTCACGCTTGTAAGGCCGAGGCGGGTGGATCACTTGAGGTCAGGAGTTTGAGAACAGCGTGACCAACATGGTGAAACCCTGTCTCTACAAAAATACCAAAATTAGCCGAGTGTGGTGGTGGGTGCCCGTAATCGTAACTACGTGGGAGGCTGTAGAATCACTTGAACCTGGAAGGCGGAAGTCATAGTGAGCTGAGATCATGCCACTGTACTCCAGCCTGGGTGACAACCAAAATACCCCTTTGATTCAATAAAGGTAGGAAGTGAAAACCTTTAGTTACGTTAGGGAATTTCAGGTCACCTGGGTCTTACCATAATGCCTTGAGAAAACAGTTTTGGAACAGTGAACTGACTACAAGCTCAGGTCTGTGTTCCTTCATACTGTGTCCTCTCAAAACAGAACCCAGCGAAATGCATCCTTTACCAAAACACAAGGGGGCCTGTTGTTGGGGCCAGATGAGGAGAGCCAAAAATGAATGCAAAATTAAGAACAACGGTTCACCCAAGGTGGTGGTTTCTGAAGAATGATCAAACCATACATCAAATCAATCATTTTAGGTAGCTGTTCTAACAACTTCTGCCAAATGTAGAGAGTCTAGGAATCTTTGGTGACCCTATCATCTTCAAACATCTGACCAATCAGGCAGCTGGCCAACAGGTATCAGGGAAGACTCCTCATGACCAGAATGGCTGGGAAGCTCCACCTCAAGCGGAAACCCTGGCACCGGCCCTGTGAACAGCAGCACCTGGGGCCTCTGGCCACGGCTGGCCGAGGGGCGCATTTGGGCTCCCATGTTTCTCCATGCCTGGACCACACTCCAGGGCAGCTTGCAGCAAGAGTAAACAACTTGATCAAGGGAAGCGTTTTGACCAAGTCAAAGTTTTTCTCCTGAAAACTGAAGCTACCGATGACTTTTCACTAGGTGGAACTGGAATATGGAGACATGGGAAGAATCTTTCAGGCAGATTTAATCAGTGCCAGTGTGGACATGATTGATTCCAGCACGTTTCAGATGCTGTGCCGAGTGTTCACGCCCCAACCTCCCTGACTATCCACAGCTGTCCTGTGAGAGAAAAACTATTATCATTCCCATTTTAACAAACAAAGAACAATTACTCAGCAGTTAAATACTCGCTTGACGTTCCCCAACTGCTAACTGTGTCATGTCACTGAGCAAAAGCAAAAAAGTATGCAGAGACGTTACATGGTCAAGTGCAGGAAAGAAGGCGCATGACACACGGAGACTGGGCATGGTGGCGTGGACGAGGACACAGAGGGGTCACTCACGCTGCTGGAGTCCGGTTCCCCCCGCTCCTCTGTGTGGGGTCCCTCCGTGACTATTTTAAAACACCTGTCTTCATTTGTGTAAGCCCGAGTGCGTCTCCACTGCTTATAACCCAAGAAAGAGACAGGAAGGTGTCTTCGGAACAGGGTCCTCAGGTGGAACCCAAAGTCGCCCACCGTGGGGTTTCCCATACTTCAGTCCCGCATGGACACCTTCAAGATCTTCATTAATCTGTGTACAGTCATGCTGTTATTTAGTTGGTACTTTGTTTTATGGATACACTTTTTATTAAGCTGTGTCCTAAGCAATAATAGCCCAAGAAACCATGGATTTGATGTGCTAATTATATATTTTCACACTCACCAATATATAATTATTAAAGTAAAATAATATTCAACTCTGAATCACTTAAAAGAACTGCCATAAGCAGTGGCGTGCACTCACCACACTTGGAGGAATCCTAGGCTATCCTACAGTATAAAGAAAGAAAATAACAAGAAGTCCTCTATTTGGCCTAAGTTGTAGATTTCTTGTTGACTATTATTGCTCAACAAATCTCCAATGATTATCCTGAATGAGGGGCCAGAAAACCATTTTACTTCTGTTCTGTTCCTTTTCATTAGAGGATGGACAGATCAATTGCTCTCAGGCTTTGCTAACCCCCGCTAGTCTTTGCTTCTATAAATGCAATACTATTTAGAAGCCCAGGATTAGAATCTTTCCACGGATTCCAGGATATCCATTGATTCTTTTAAGTTTTGCCTTCAAATCTGTATCATAATATTGCTACTTAAATACGAATGTCTTTGGACAAGTTAAACTCAACTTTAAAGCCAATGTAAGTAACAGACTACAGCCGTCCATGCGGGGGATTGGTTCTAGGCCCACCACGCTTACCCAAATCCATGCATATTCAAGCCCCACAGTCAGCCTGCAGGACCCGTGCATATGAAAAGTTGGCCCTCTGTATACACAGGTCTCGAATCTTGTGCATTTGCAATCTGCATTTGGTTGAAAAAAATCCACATATAAGTGGACCTGTGCAGTTCAAACTTGTGACGTTCAAGGGTCAATTGTAATTCTTTTACTTATGTAAGGAATGCACTATGATAAGGAGTTGTGTCCTGTCTTACAACTCAGACAGGATGATAAGCATCTTCCTTTATGTATCTGCAATGGTTTTGGTCCCACACGCTAGAAGAAAGCTTAAAAAGATGCTATGCCCATTGACCCATTCGTAGTGTAAAAAATTTTCTGAAACTGTTGAATGGCTCCATTCAAAAGTTGAACTGATCCTCCTAACTGGCTTCTAGTTATTTGGTTTCCTTTAATATACTCTTGCATATGTTTTAACAGTGTAAGCCTTAGCAAATTTTTTTCTGCATGTATCCAAAAATAAACATAATGTCATATACAAATATAAGCATGTTTTATACATTAAGATATCTATGCCAACATATCACAGATAACATATTAAGAAGAATCAGATTTCATTTATGGTAAAACCAGCAAAAATAAAAAACCAAAACTCAACACATCTCTTTTCTCCCCAAGAGCAGAGTGACGTGCCCTTCCGCTGGGCTCTATTAATGTCCCTGCATAGCTGGCAGCCCTGCACATGCCACATGATGTTGTCATTTGCACATAGGTTGTCAGTGTATAATTTTCCACCAGCTATGACAGGATTAGACACAAAAGTGCTTGGAAGTGTTTGCTGAATGAAGAAACCTACAGTATCCATGAATGCTGCCATGATGGCAACTTACTTATCATTCTAACTGAAGGTAATCTTTGCATCCTCTCACCCCTTTAGCAATACTTCCATTTTACTTTAAATCATACATATTATGTTCTCTTAAACTGCAAGCTCCCTGAGAGCAGGCAGGCTCTCTTGCTGCTTCTTTGTATTCCTTGCTGGATGAAAGTGAATTTTCTATTTACATCTTTATAGTCAAGTATCTTGCAACCCAAGCTGCAGTTTTCTTTTAGTAGAATGACACGTTAATTGCAACTAAGTACCACTGCTGGAATGGTACTTAAAATGGTCCGGATACACTTTAGGATGAGTGCTTGGAGCAGAGACAGAAGCCGGTCTAAGGATTCACGCAGGTGCAGGCTGTGGACCTGCTGTCCAAAGCACGTCCAATCCGGGGCCCCCCTTGGGTGGATTTGCTGTTGCTCTGATTTATGCTGATTTGCGCCAACACTTGGCTATCGTCAGCCTCAAAGCAGGACTGAAGAGGGTCACAACTACCAAGCGGACAATGCAGCATTTGTTTACAGTTCTGAATGGATTATCCTTTGTTCACGTGAGTGAAACCCTGTGTCTTGTCTGGAGACAGCAGTATAGAGTTCCCAAGTTCTACTTGTGATAACAAAGGACTTCACTGAAATAAAACTTTACATGGGCTGTAAAATATGAGTTGGTAACGGGAACCCAAATTAATGAACTTGGAAATTCTCACTCTCCAATAGATTAGAACATATTTCAGTCTTAAAACATGAATGGGAGAATAATTTGTCATTTCTAGGAATTACATTTCTGTTTTCCTTTGAGGCATAAAGCTATTTAAGTAAGATCTACCTTGAATATAGATGCTTTTCTTTACAAAAATGGTATTTCACACACTCTGAGGGTTCAGAAAATACCATTCATGTCCTGATCTCGTTTCTGGCTCTTATAAGGCAAGAAAGCTAAGCAACAACTTGGGTCACAAAGAACCAAATAGAAACAATTTTTGGAAACTTTTTCTTTTTGCCACTATGGACAGTAAAACCAGTGTTCGGTCCCTAGGAGTAACATTTCAATACTTCAGAAAAGAAAAATGAGACCCGCAACAGAACAACCAAGGTAAGGTTAAGCACCTTTGAAAGCACTCAATCTGAACGTACCATGTAAGGATAACCTGGGGGCAGGAAGGCCACCAATGTGGAGCTGGATGTCTGATCGGGCGCACCTCACGCTGCCTTATCGGGGCACCTCACGCTGCCTGATCGGGGCACCTCATGCTGCCTGATCGGGGCACCTCACGCTGTCTGATCGGGGGCACCTCATGCTGCCTGCTCCCACCGTGATCAGGATCCGTGCATGGAAAACTGTCCAAAAACTGACAAAATATACCCACAAACACAGAGGCAAGGTTAAGAGGAAAAATCACCTTCCTCAAAAAAAATCCAAACTTATGGAATATTATAAGAGGTCTGAATATTCAGTTAAAAGTAAAGCACAGTCAGGATTTTCACTGAAGTTAAGGCAATAAGCTCAATTACTTCAGGAAACTAGGAAACCTGTGTTCAGGCTGCCCAGAACCCCAAGTCCAGATGAGACCCCCTAGCTCAGTACTTCCCTGATGTAGGTTTCCTTCTGCTTGGCTTTCTTGCCTAGTAAGAGCTATCAATGAAATGAGGAAATGAATGGTATTTGGAGACTGAAGAAGGAAGCAAGAGGGAGAGAAAAGTGTTAAAAAATGTTGTATTGAGAACTCATAATAAGGATTCTCACAAACTTAAAAATAACATACGGTGTTTTTCTTTCCTCCTCCTTTCCTTTCTCTTTCTTGGAGGAATGGAGAAGGAGACAGCAAGTCCCATGCTCTTATATCAAGGTTTACAGATAGAACCCCACTAACTACCTTTGGCCTATGTTGGCCAGAGTTCCACTAAATACCAGGAACACATCAACCAGACTCAGCAGTAAGAGAAAAACACGATTCAGATTTACATGGAAGATACCTGCACAATTTCAACTTTCTAATGTGAAAGGCTGAAAAACATAGTTTCTGAGGTAAGACAAAGAATATCTTTTAAGGCTGGATGTGGTG